TCTATAACAAGGGACAATGATTCTTCTACATACCATAGGCTGTCAAATAACAAGCCCAGTGCAAGATATGGCTTACCACTTTTTGAGCCAGTTGTCAGTGGATTCCGATAGAACCACCACTCCAAACATAGGCTATCTCCATTGCTCTTGATTACTCTCTAGAACTTGATGGCAAGACCCTGTTGCTGAACACACCACATACTTCAGTCATAGGACATGGAGAAGTCAAGCCGTTACTAACATAGAGCTTTACTCCTACTTGCTAGCTGCTATAGTAATGGAAATTTCTACTTATACTACCAAGGGAGAAGAGTGTTCAACAATCTTTCTTCCTATCTGTGAACTCTGTCAGTAATGACTGACCTGGCAACATAAGCCCACTGGTGCAGTGGTATTATTGAGTATTCAATCACGTTCTGATTGGATCTAAGTCTGACTTTGTAAAACAGAACTCATTCCTGGCACCACTAAATGGGCCCCAAATCTGTAACTGGCTAGGTCATAGGCCCTAGAGGAGAACCCAATACCATTATTTTGCTAAATGGACACCGTATTAAGCTACCCTCTGAGTTATCTTTGTACATATAGATTAGTGAATCCCTCAGCCCTCTTCAGAGAAACATTTTTGCCACTGACAGTGATTAATAGAGGCTAACAGCTCATCAACGTACAGAGAATAGGAGAATATGTAGTGTTTAATTCTACATGGGACATTCATAATTTGTATCTCAACCTTCCTCAAAGGCTCAAGGATCACCACTGAACAGGGGCCTGAAAGATTGTAAGAGCCAGAGTGAGAAAAGGTCTGCAGTTAAATAATGTTTTCTAGATATGACAACACTGTTGTACACATGAACCCATAGTGGCTGTGATAGCAGGCTTAAGACCATCCAAAAAATCAAGTCAAAATTCTAGCATGGGGGTGGGTGATGGTCAACAAGACTACCCCACTCCCGGCAGCTGTTGGAGCTATTGGAAATTGATGACTGCTAGGAGACAGTGAGTTTTCTTCAGGAATACAGCCCCTGAAAGTCTACCTATGCTCCAGTAGATGCCCCTACCCCATGTATGTACAGGCAGCACTAAATGAACTCAGTGGCTTTAAGAGAGAGAGAGAGAGAGAGAGAGAGAGAGAGAGAGAGAGGCGATGTAGAGAGAAAGAGGAGATGTGAGGTTTATTATAGGAGTCTTATACAAGGACATGCACTCTGCAGCCTCTTATTTTCTACACTTTGGCTTTCTAAGTTGTAGCTTTCTAAGTTCATGGCCCTCTGTGAGGAAGCTTCACTGGTGAGAGTTGAGAGATGCATTAGTGTTCTCTCTACCCCTTGCTCCACTATGTTCTGTGAGCCTTAGGTCTAGAGATGTAGGTATTGAAGATACATCACTTTAGGGTTGAGGTTGTAATAGCCAGGGGTGGGGCATAACCATAAAGAAGCAGAGTCTTACAGGGTCCTGGGAACTTGGTCATATAAACTATAGAAACAGTGACAGCATGCAAACAACACATGCAAACTCAAGGAGACAAAAACCAGCATAGAGGGGCTGCATAGATGGCTCAGCGGTTAAGAGCACTGACTGCTCTTGCAGACGACCCAGGTTCAATTCCCAGCACCCACATGACGGCTACAAACCATCCTTAACTCCAGTTCCAAGGGGAATCTGAAGCCCTCTTCTGACCTCCACGACATTGCACAACACAGGTGCACTCCCATACATGCAGACAATACACTCATAAAATAAAAATAACAAAATATTTTTTAAAAACAGCATAGAACTGGGGAACTGAGCAGAAGGCCCTGCCCTTAGCCAAGGAACTATTGGCAGCTGATCACTGCTGGGTGAGGGAGAGAGTTTATCTTCTTTAAGGGAATGACACTAGATAGGCTTAATAGGTTCCATGGGTGAACTCATACTGAGAGGCGTCTGGTACACAAACATGATTCTGTAGGCCTTTACTAATGACATAATGCATGAAATACTGTGGGAGGGCTGTGGGAGGGGCAAGTAGGGGAGGGAGTCTAAATATGATTAAGATGTAGGAAATTCACAAAAATTCAGTAAAAATATTCATTGGAAGAAGAGAGAGAGAAAGCACATGAAGTTGGGAGGGAAAAGTAGTGAGGGGGATGGGGCAGGAATTGGAGGGAGGGAAGTGGGGTACATTTACTCAAAGCACACTATATGCATGCATGAAATTTCACACAGTAAAAAAAAATTTTAATTACAGATCTTGTACATAACAGTCCCAGCATGGAGCCAGAAGGGGATCCCAAGGCCACACCCTTAGCTGAAGAGCTACTGATAGCTGCTTGGGAAATGAGAGTCGCTTTTCTCTGTGGGGTGGCCTCTGGTAGACTGTCATGTACCAATGGATGTTTCCACTCCTGTGTGCATATGGACAGCACTGATTGGCTCCGTGGGTTATATAGAACAAAAAAACAAGACATGAAGTTGGGAGATGTTTGGGGGATGTAGGGGGAGCTGGAGCGAGGGGGGGAGTTAGTGATGGACATGATGTATATTCATTGTATACATGCTGAGATTTTCAAAGAATACAACAAGCTCAGAATTATTTGAGAATATCAACAAGTTGCTTCTTATTTTTATGCAACAAGTGTGCTTAACCACCAAGCCATCTTGCCAGCCTTCCTCAGAGTTAGATTTTGACCCTACCAGTTAGAAATTCAGATTCACTTTATTGTACCTTATAAATGGTGGGATGGCCTTAACATATATGACAGAATGCTTAAAATCCAAGGCTGGGTGCAGATGGGGGGGGTCTAAATATGGTTAAGTTTTATTGTATGAAATGCACTAAAACTTTACACTAAAAAAAGATGAGATGACTTTATATCCATATTCAGGAGCCAAGGATCCGAGTATAACAGAGTGCGACTAGTTGTAATCAGATACATGGAGATTAAAGACACATGTGCAAACATCTAACCGTTAGTAGCATTAAAAAGGTAGGAAACAGCATATCTTAAAATGAAATGGAGATCTTCTTTAAAGGGTAAAAACTCATTCAATTTTATGTCTTACAGGGTTTATACTGAGTTCAATATTGTATGACTGTATTAATTCAACTGTGAACCTAAAAATTTACAGCCACTTTTGAAAGAGATGTATCCTTCCTCTGGAGTGTGTTATTGAATATGTTAAAGCTGTAATGAAATGCTTCTTCTAATCATGTGGTTATTAAATTTAAAAAATTTTTAAAATTAAAAATAAAATGCAAAAAAGAATTATTCATATCAGTGAGACAACCATTAACAAATTCTTGTCAACCAATAAACAAATAAATAAAATATAGTGTATCTTCAAAAAAAAAGAGAGCTGATATGCATGCAACTGAAAACTTAACAGCGTCATCTGGTGGATAGAACTTACTGTGACTGTATCTGAATACCTGTCATTTTTACATTTAGGAAAAGGAAAAATATGACCCCCTGAGAAATTTAGATTTAGTATAATTAACGCAGTTCTGTTCAACTGTTACAGGTACTTAAGTAACTGAAGTCGCTCTGTTCCCTCCCTGCTCCTTCTCTGTGCCTTGTCTACACCAAACGAAGAATTCATACATGACTCACTTTGGAAACTTTTTAATTGATTTATTTAATTTGTGTGTATGCGTGTTTTGTCTACGTGCATGTAAGTGCATGCAAGTGAACCAGTGTCCTGAAAAGCCCACAGAGCCCAGAACAGGATGTTGGATCCCCTGGAACTGGAGGTTGTAGCCACCACATGGGTGCTGGGAATCAAACTAGGATCCTGTGGAAGAGCAGCCAGTGCTCTTAAGCACTGAGCCATCTCTCCAGCTCCCAAACATGACTCAGTTTTTACCTTTTAACTCTGTGTGCTTT